TTCATGTTTGGGAATAGGATCGGGGATCGGGGCCATGCATATATATCCTCGGGGCGTTAATTATTCTTTTCCCATTCCGTTCTTCCTCCTGTGTTTTATGAGCGCTGGGGTTTTTCACATTTACATTAGGGGCCCTTGCCTTCATGAATTGAACAGGCACATTATACATTTCCCATGCAAACCCAGATATACGCTTTGAGTATTTATAATTATCACGTATATCATTTTCATTCTTGCTTTCAGAGCCTCCTCCCACCGCTCTTCCCTCTCTCATCCTATCCTACCCCATTCTCCTCACCTTTATGGCGACACTTTTGGGGAAACAGAGAACTAATGCATTTTGACCACTCCCTCTCCACCTTGCATTTTTTTTCCCTTTTTTTTTAAAAAAAAAAAAAAAATTAAGGGAGGGGGACACACTGGAGGTACCAGGAAATCAATGATCAAAAATGTGAAATCAAGCCCAAACTTCTACCTACCCCCATCACATCATGTCACGTACACCTCTCTCCATTCTTTCCTTGTTTCCCCCTCTCCTCCCCCCGTGGGACACCGTGAATATACATTAAACCTTTTGTTTTTCACTTCCTTTTGTTTCCCTTCTGTCTGTATGCCCTTTTTTTTTTTTTTCCCTTCGTCTATATCCGGTTTGTGTATAGCATTATGTCTCAAGGGAAGTGCGGGAAGTTGGAAATTAATTGGCTGGGGATGAAGGAATTAATTGGGCTGTCCATAAGTTGGATCGTATCTTTTGCTTCCATATTATTTATTCCCTGCCGCATTCCCCCCCGTTTTCTTATGCATATGTATATTTATGTATGTATGTATGTATGTGGTTGTTTAGTTGTTGGATTTATAGTTGTTGCTGTATACATAGTTACGTTGTGGAACTTTCGTCGTGACAAAAAAAATATACGTAATACCAATCTATGATACTTTTTTTCGGATTGTTAGTCTTCATTATGAATATACACATGTATATTACACAGGCAGTATCCGGTGCCCCTCTCGTTCTTTGGATTCTCCTTGTCCTCTTCTGGAATAAAGAAGATGACTCTTAAAGAATGAACACAAATCATGAATGAAACAGAACGATGAGAGACAAAAATACACAGGCTAATCATTCTACCTAGAGAATAGAGCTGAGAAATATAAAAAGCCCTTGGAGCTTCACTCCCTTTTCTGCAGAAACGTCAACGCCGCTCCAACCAACGCGTCGACTCCCACCCGCATCGTGGGTTGCATAACCGGCGCAAAGAACGGCGAATGATTCACAGGAATATCCCTTGCAATCGTCCCATTCTTCTCCGCCGCATCCCACGCTTGCGGGTCCACGCCGCCAAAAAACCAGAAACAACTGGGCTTCCCCACCGAAGCGCCCAGACACCCAAAGTCCTCTGACGCATTGCTGCGCGGCCAATCGGGCCAGAAACGATACAGGGCCCCAGCCTCATTCGATGCGCCATCATCATCGAACAGCCGCTTGAACGTCGCGCCCAGCTTCCCCGTCACCGCCGCATCGTTCACGGTAACGGGGAAGCTCAACGTCCGCGTGATCTCCGGCTCCTTCTCCGCTCCGCTCGCCTCGCTCTCCGCACGCACAATGCGCTCCACGGACGCCAGCACATTCGCCCGCGTCGCCTCGTCCGCCGTGCGTACGTTCACCTCCATCTCCGCCGTGGCCGGGATGATGTTCGCGGCGCTGCCCGCATGCAGGCTGCCGACGGACACGACGCCAAGGCCGTCGACGCTGCCCGATTGCACCTCGCGGCTGGCGATGGTCTGCAGCCGCACCACGGCGCTGCTGGCCATGACGATCGGGTCGATGGTGAAGTGCGGCATGGAGGCGTGGCCGCCGCGGCCGTGGAAGGTGACTTTGAGACAGTCCGAGGCGGCCATCTGGGCGCCGGGCTTCATGCCGATGGTGCCCGCGCGGGCGGGCAGGACGTGCTGGCCCAGGAAGACGTCGGGGATTGGGATGTTGTGCGGCGAGGTGGGGGAGAAGAGCCCGTCGAAGATCATGCGGGCGGCGCCGTTGCCGTGTTCCTCCGCGGGCTGGAAGAGGACGACCAGCGTCCCGTGCCAGCGGGCGCGGAGCGCGGGGGAGGCTAGGGAGTCTGTCGCAGCAAGAAGGCAGGTCATGTGTAGGTCGTGGCCGCAGGCGTGCATGGTGGGTTTGGGTTTGTTTCCGTCATTGGCGTCATGGGTTGTTTCTTTGCTGGCGTAGGGGAGGTTGGTTTGCTCGCGGACGGGGAGGCCGTCTAATTCCGCGCGGAGGAGGACAGTCGGGCCGACCTGGCTGGATGGAGATGCTGCTTTGTTGGTGTTGTTGAGGACGGCGACGACGCCGGTGCCGCCAATTCCTGTGTGGATTCGGAGGCCCGGGATGTTCAGCTGTTGCAGCTTGTTCGCGACAGTTTTGGCCGTGTTGTATTCTTGGTGGGAGAGCTCCGGGTGGGCGTGCAGATGTTTGTACAGGCCTTCATACGGGCCGAGATCGGGACGGTGTTGTTCTACAACTGAAT